AAATTCATCGATCTTTTCAAATCTTTTTTCAAATTTCCAAAATTTTGAAAGTTTTCCGAGATATTAAGAAAAAACTAAAGGCCCCATTTTTTTTCACTTAATTGTTTATAACTTTTGTAATTTTTATCGGCGTGTTTTCGGACCTTCCCTCGAACTTTCTAGGCAAAAATACGAATCGAATGACACCTTGGTCGTAATTTTTAGACAGAGCTGAAAAATGTTACAAAAAAAGTACATGTGAACTAGACTATATCAACACTAAGTCCCTTCGTCAGTTGTGAATTTCAGTAAAGAACTGAGTCTAATTAAACAGATTCCGACCAACAGTGGTTATGATAGCAATCTTATCTATTCTTCAAGAAACTGTACAGTATGGCCATGGAGGAAGTTCACCCGATTTCAATAGATGAGGGGGAAAATTGTAGAACGTTAATATATTTGGGCCAACCCCAGATTTCTAATATGGACCGATGACGCCACCAGCCCAAAGTCCACACCAAACAGTGATTTTTTCGTGATGTATTGGACGCTCTTGAATCTCATGTGGATTGGTATCGTCCCAAATTCAACAATTTTAATCAGAAATGAGGCCGTTATCAATTGTCAAAGTTCAGAAGTCCCTGTTGAAAGACCCTATAGTTTCTATAATCGATGAATGAATTCAACGTATACAAATAAACCACAAATGTGTAATTTGCAATCAAGAGCATTTACAATGTGTTCACTAAAATCACATAGAGCTGTTTCTGTACTCTTATTCCTTGTGAATCCATGTTGGTTTGATGAGAGAATGTTATTCATAGAAAAGAAGGAAATTAATTGATTTTTGATATTCAACTCAAATACTTTTGATACACTAGAAAGCAAACTGATGCCCCTATAGTTTTCATACAAATTTTTATCACCCTTTTTATATTAAGTGTTACAACATTAGCAATTTTCAGTTTGTCAGGAAACATTCCATATTCTAGTGATAGGTTAATGATTGAATTGGGTTGAATATCATATCAATTGATATATCATAAGAACACCGTAACACATTGTGAAAGAAGTATTCGAAAGTTAAAGTGAATTGTCATTTGCAGTTGTTTTCTCCATTATTTAATATTTTCATTCATGGACAGACAATCTTTTACCTCTCTGCTACAGATATATATTTTATTAGACATAGACACTCTATTCAAAACATTCAAAGTCCTGCATTTTCGCCATTGACAAAAAAGGAGGTGTCCGAAAAATATAAAAAACATCCTAACTTTGTAATTGAAATGTATCAAAACTCAATATTATGTGAGCAAATAAAAACCAATCTGTCAAAAATGGTCTGTTATTGTAAACGTCAAAAAAATTCCAGTATAATTCGCTGTTGGGTATCCCACGAGAAACAAATTTTCACTAAAATACCTCTTTTGCCATGATGATTTGTCAAAATACCGTATTTTGATTGGTTCATAATTACAGGTGTGCAATTTTTCATTAAATTATAAATACAGTAACAACCCGATTTGACGTTTGACAGATCGAGCTCAACTTTCGGAAAGAATGAAACTGACGCAATGTCAAACAATCTGAGGTAATTTCACTACATTTCCGAACTAAATATATTTCAAGAAAGCAAAAGATCAAACTCCACTATTCATCAACAAACATTCACATATTATTCGAAATTGAAACGGTAAATCATACGGTAAAAAATGTTCTATTGAAACTTCTATAAAGGGCGTTCCAACGAAAACTTGACCCCCCTGTAAGTCAGAAACGAACGTGTTCGATATTTTCAAAGAGCACGTCAATGTTCATTTCTAGGGGGACTAATTCTTACGTGGAAATCATACCCGAAACTTAACCCCCTGCGGTCAGCAACTATCCCCTTTTTTTTTCTATGGCATGGGGGGTCGAGTGATACATCATTTGAAAGGTCTTTTGTCCTTCTATTACTTCTGTGATTTTTTTCGAAATTGGTTTATTTGTTATTGAGGAATTAAATATTAAACGTTTTATTTAAGAAAAAACAGAAAATTCGCTGTCGATCATTTTATTGAGGAAAATAACAGAAGTAATATCAATAACAACACGATCAACGGATGAAGTGTTCAAAGTGATATCAATCTAGTTCCATCAGGGTCGTCGCCATGGGGGATGGGGAAGAGCCCCCCCCCTACGTTTTCGACTTGGGAAAAACTTGGAGAATTTTGGGCCGTGAAGATAAAAAAAATAATAGTGAAAAAATGGATAAAAACAAAAACAAATGTCAGAAAAGAAAGGAAGAGGTAATAAGAAAAAGGAAAGAATCAGGAGAAGGTTGGGATTTCCCAACATGGATAACTTGGAGATCCCATACTTTGAAATTCTGAGTTGTTTGAAAACTTCAAAAAAAGTTCAATTTCTCCCAAGTGAGAGAAAAGTCCTGAACTATCCACAAATTTTGAAGTGATAATTTTACAAAATTCCCAACTTTTTGCTGTTTTTTCGACTTGGAAAAGTTGAGAAATTACAAGCATTCATTGCTTAGGTATATTCTATGTTTTCTTTGTGTTTACGATGTATTTTTTATAGTAGATATTGTACGAAACAAAATATGGAATGAATCAAATCAAATGAAAATCATATAATCGAAGCATTGCAAATCATGCGAGACGTTCTTGAAATACATTGTCTCTTATAAGCCAACGCAGACATTAGATTAGAATTTTGGGGAGCTAAGCAATGCCCTGATTCACTGCGACCTTTTCAGATCTATTGTGATGCTCCTTAGTTGTTAGATCTCATTGTCTAGCTTGACCTCTTTGATGAAACTCCATAGCCCCCCCCCATGTCCCCTCCCGGGTTGAGTGCCCTGAAGTAGAAGCCCCCCCCAGCTAGTTAGCGAGGAGAACATACTACCCCACTCACTCCACCCCCGCTCTCCGAGCGGTCCTCAACTTACTGATGGGCACTTCAGCAAGATTGACATCTGACCTCTTTTGGTCGAAAGTCAGCCTTTAGGTGCTATTCTTTCGCGATCGGTAAAAATGTTCTGTCATGACTATTCCTAACTGAAATTCTGCATGGGGGCCCCCAAAAACTAACCGGCGGCTATTGTTATTAGCGTCGAGACATATGGTGAACCACCTATTGGTGTGACATCCAAGTCAATTTGCCAAGTTTTCATGTCAGTGTTTGTGGTTTCACCAATCAACAGGAAATTGCGGTAGCAGAAAATTGGAAAGCTATCCTGGAATGTTATCGAAAATCGAATCCACATGTTTCTAGAAATGATATGAAATCGGGAAAGGGTAATGCAGTCAAGCTGCTGGAAAATAATTCCATGAAAATCAATATTGGGCATCGTCAGTACCGGACAGGTGGTCCTCAATTGAAGACTAAATGTGACTGATCTAGCGTCTTCATTTCAAT